TGCTGCTTGAAAGATGGCAAAAGATGATAAATGCAAATAGTGTTCCTGTAATAGTTATAATAGTGGTCCTGTAATTATTGTAGGAACACTAACTTCGACAAGTACTGCAAAAGCAGATTACACTACTATTTATAATAAAATTTTTGCCTTTTTTAAACGTATACTGTTTTTATCGTGAATGTAATTAAAATAGACTAAATTTAGCTAAACTAACTAAATTTGGAACTTTTCTGATTAATTATTAATTTCGCGAAAACATATTAATAAAATCGTATTATTAAATAAGCAATATATCATATATCTTTTTGTTCGATTCTATGGAAAAATGCATGTCAATTATTCGATACCACCAGCAATATCTGCGCGTAATACTTAATTACGCGCAGTAATTACTATATGTTAATATACATATATTCAGAATTAATAGATCTATTATTTGTACATATATTCTAATTATTTTATCATTTATAGTTGGATGAACGCCAATTATACATATTTTGATTTATGAATTCGTTAATGTTAATTCATCGTCTAAAGCTTTTCGTGCAACTTTGAGTTTTGAAATAAAAATATAATAACTTTGGATTTTAATAGTGCAATTTGATTAACGTGTGCATAATAAGAAATTGAAGAAATTTGATTAATACGTGTTGATTAATGAATTGAAAGTTGATTAATACATGTGTAATATAGAAAATTTTATAATGTATATTAATAAATTTTACACAAATTCTATTTAATTCTTTTTTTCAATAAAAAGATGATTATTGAACTTAAAAAGGATTATTAAATTTATTCTGTATTTTAGCAATAAAATTTAGCTATATTTTAATAAAAAAAGTTTTTATGTCACTAATTTAAATATTTTTCACTTTTAAGTGACACTTTTGAATGATTAAAAACTTACATACAAATACGAAGTTATATTTAAAAAATAGGTATTAAAATTGAAATCTAATTTTATAGATATTAAGTTATATATATAGCCAATATGATAATAAAACTATGTTTAATAGGATATATTAATAATTCTTTCAATCCAGTGATGAAATATATTTAATAGTTTATTATTATTATGAAGTGATCGGGACGCTTACAAATTCATTGCACAATCTTCCGCGAGCAAAAGATTCCACATATATGATATATATATATATACATAATTTTATTCGGATAAATTTCCATTAATAGCCGGATTTGCGATAAAAATACACGTGCTCTAAAAATAAATTAAGAAACTTTAGAAAGTGCCTAAATAAGTAATGGTACTTATAAGTTCACTTCGCAAAATGTAACAATTACTGGTGATTAGTACAGCGTTGATCGTTATGAATATTTATCATTCATGTATATTACATATTTTATGAAGAAAGTAGGGAGGAATATATAATCAAGAAAAAATATACTAGTAGGTGTCAATATACATGATACAACATAAATGCGTTATGGATTTTCGTTTGTGACACGAAAGAGATAAAGAGTATCGTTCGCCGTAAGTACGAGAAACGCATGTCTCGAATTACTTGCCATAAACGAAACCATTTAAGCGTACTCATGCGGAAGAGAAATAATCGCGCTGTTAATCCCTTCTTTTTGCGCTAATAATTGATAAAACATAATATCTATATGTACATCAATGTGCTATTGGTGCAGCCCCGATTTGTTGGAAGCACTCCAACATTTATTTATCACAGTAGCACCCCGACTGACGTCACGTCTACATCTAAATCGCGCAAACGCTTTCTGAAAAAATCTGTATACTCTATCCGATAAATTCAACTATCAAGATCGAATGGTAACCGCTAAATGAACCGAGAATACCTCTTACGCTAAAACTGTGCATATTCACAGTTACGTGTACGTTGTTTCGTAAGCTAATTATATCGTATCGGACGAGATGCCGGTCAGCACCTGCTTTTACGCGAATAATCCTATGACTGTGTATGTAATGTTTTTGAGCAGCCACTGTTTATGAGTGAATCGTGCGTTACGTTTACTTTTAATCTCTCACACGCGAGGACAATTATCGACCTAATATATAATATAATTAGGAAAAGATAATGTCTTGCTTTATTAGCTCGATCGCATATTTCGTGGGTCATATACCAAGATAACTGCAAAAGATAAACGCGCCACATATACATAAGACTATTAATATGATGACAAACCAGAATGGCAGTGTGTCTGAAACGTTAAAAAAACGAAGTTTATTAGCTTTAATAGATCCCAAAGACAACTATCTATTCGTTCGCAATAAGATACTTACGTCTAAATGGTATACTATGTATACAAATCCTGTTATCCACGGAGATACTGACGACCGCGGTTTCCGTGTTACTGGTAATCGCAGGGCCATCTAGTTTCGTTGGTAAGAATTCTAGACCGGTGACGAACATGCTGTGGGCTCCAGGAACATGGAGTGCTTTCCTCAAGCTGAATGCCACGAATATATCAACACTACCGGAGAACATTGTGCCAACGGCCACGAATTTACCATCATCAGAAACGGCTAGTGCTGACAATGCTTCCTTGTAAGAAGCGGATTTGGTGATGGCTCCAGTATGGACGTCCCACAACTGAAGGAAACTAGGATTTTTCGCCGCGACGGCGTTGGAAAGCACGAACAGATCGAGCTTTGTTTTATTCTCTGCCAATTTTCTGAATCGGCATCTTTTGTACATGTACTTCACGCCATCCGGCACTGTCCAAGTGAGTTCTTTGTTCCTTGTGCCATCGTTGAGATTCCACAAGAAGGCCTTTCCGTCCTTAGCGATGCTCACCAGCAGATTACCGTCCGGACTAAAATCTAAGTCGTCTATTTCCTTCCCGTGCGCGTCAAGATCGTACAATTTGTGCAACTGCGGGAACTTCCATAATCTAACTCTACCATCTGTGCTGCCTGTGGCCATAATTGTTCCTTGCAAGCTCACCCTGACAACTCTTTGTAAAGGCTCACCGTTTCTATAAGCGAGAAAGTTCTCGTTAGAAATTAGTGTAATACTTTTCGATGTAATAAATGGGTACAACCCAAGGTTACTGAACTATAAAGGTTACCTCATTGGCAAGTTTGTGAGTAAGGGATATATTAGCAAAACGTTGACCGTGAATCTCAGTCCGTCAATTGAATGACAAAGATATCTATAGCTTTCCCTCTTGCTTTCTCTCCTCGCACAGGGTTCACGGTGACGTTATAAAAGAATGGGGATGAGGTAATCTTCATAGTTTAGTAATCTTGAGTGAATTCAATACTGTAAGTGCAACTGAGTAGCAGTAAAATGTGATTGATTTTTACCTTTAGATCCAATCAATCACATCAAATTACTACTTAGCCAGCTTAGTGATCTGTTATAATACTAAATGCATCCAATGTATCAAACTATCTTACCCAAAAGCTGTCTGCACGCTATCAGCAGGTTTGAGTATTAACTGAAGCTTCTTGCTCTTGACGTTCGAATTGTCATCTTTAATTTCCTCTATCCTTTCCATTGGTGAATGAACATCTTCCACTTTTTCACTGTTTCTTCTATGCCTAAGGCCATCTTTATTAACCACTGCTGTCGGCCCTTTGATCAATTCTCCATTCTCTGAAGTCACCACCTTGGGATTTACATTGTACAGTTGACAATGGCTCTCCTGGCCAGCAACTATCCATGTCTTCTTGCCATTATTATGTGAGGCACAATTCATGACTACGCTGGGACCTGTCTCATGTCTGGTTACTTCTTCGGCAACGAAATGTACTCCGTTATGTAACAATTCAAAAATTTCCTGCAATAACAAACTGGTCTTTAAATAGTCGCATTTAAATGACATGTTATAGTCTCGAATCAAGAAGAAAAAGGAAATTTTATGAAAAAAAACAAAAGGTAAATTTCAGATAGCCAAATAGGAAATAGAGATTACAAAAATGTCTACTGTAAACTTTTTCGGCAGAATTCCAGCAGAAATATAACAGAATCTGTTACGGAGTATGATTACATATAACAGAAATCTGCCATTAAATAATAAATTTAACAGACTTTATTAGCAGAATATGAGGAGATCAAATAGAATCTGTGAGTAAGCCATATTGTAATTACATTAAATGATACATAGTCCATTTAAATGATCACAAACTGACAGATTCAGCTGGCAATCTGCTTGCTAAGCCAGAAGAAACTCACAAATCCATTGGCAATTCCAGTCTTGGAGGAGCCGCCTCCGCCTCCCACTAGAATGTGCCTGCTGGTAAGCATCTGCAGGGTGTAAAGGGGGAAATTCACCCTGGCCAGGAGGCCGCCTTTGTTTCTTCTGGAGGACATGACGCGGCAGATCTCACCGTCTAGTAATCTTCCAGTTGCTCTTGCGTGTCAGGGATGTCAGGTGTACGAACAGCTTCGCCGAGGAATCCTGCGGGATTTGGTGATCCGGGATCAATACTGGTCGGATGAATCGCGCGTACGATGTCCGCGTTCCATCGTCACTCCGGGACGGCCTTTTAAATGAGGACACGCGGTTCACGTGTCACCACCGTAAGACGCAGACGACGACGGACGATCCATATAACTTTGCGCTTTGCGCGACAAAACAGCGGAGGTACACGTATTCACTCAGAACGGCGCGCGGTTGAGGTAGGTTGAGCGCTCCATTGTAAGATCGCGCCACTGCGCTGTTGTCGCAAGTTTTGTTTACGTCGCAGGCTCCAACTCTTACCATAGCTCCAACTCACTCTATCAAAGACTACGTTTATACCGTACGCTTAGTCCGCGACCTATACGATAGATGTCCTTGTGGCTACGTTTACATCGTGTGTTTAGTCCGCAACCTATACGATAGATGTCTTTGTTTGGCTACGTTTACACCGTGCATTTAGTCCGCGGCCTATACAATAGACGTCCTTGTTTATCCTGTATATTAAACAAAGACACCTATCGTATAGTAATTATTCAACGAATTACTATTAAAGACCTTCAATCGGTGGCCCTGATAACAGATACTGCGACCTTATCGATCGAGGAGGCTGAGAAATTTCTCAGTTGCGCCACTGAGGGAATCCGAGTTCCGCAAAATGGCGGGTGCCATAGTGCGTTGTTTTCAGATTCCGAGGAGACAATTAGGTGAGTTTTAAGTATCCCCTTATTATTGCGGCTATACGAATTGTCTTGAATCGCGAATAAATCATCCGCAACGAAACGGCGAACGAACGTTATCTCCTACGTCTTCGAAAATAGTTTCCCCTCGTTGCAATGAATCTACGAGGTTATGTAATTAAATAAAATTGCACTATATTTAAAGGTCTCCTCGGATCGAGTTTGAGCAGTCAGCAGCAGAGAACACTCGCCGATGCCGCCCCGGAAGGAAAGGTGAGTGTTTCTCAACAATCTCAACGTCTATTCATATTTTAATAACCCTCCCTCTCCTTTATTTCAAAGCTTCGACGTGTCTTCATCTTTTTCAAGTACAGTTAAAATGAACAAGATCAATAGGACTGCCTTGAGTAAAAAGAAAGCAACTGTTATAAGATAACTGTTACAAGAGTCTTATTAGAATTGGATCATACATTTACAGTCAGTGAGGAAATAAAAGCAAGAATTATGTTAAAGAATATAATCTTATAATAGTTATAATCAGGGTTGTGCTGTATATTTCAAGATTACATTTACACGGAATTTTTACGTATTATTTACCTTAAGTTTATGAATCTTTTTCATGTAGACGATACAAGCAATGTAAAATATATAAATTATAAATTGGATAATACAATATAGAAAGGAATAATTGAGTTTTATGATTATTAATATATCTGATCAGTATTTTTTAATAAATAATATATAAAATAGAAATTCTAGTGTAATACCAAAGAATGTAGGCTTCGATAATCCATAGATTGTTTATAGATGATATATGAAATAGTTTATATAGTTTACATTATATACATATAGATGTACATTATTATATTTTATGCATAAACGTACAATCCTGGTTCTAGGTGCTTTTTCTACTGAACGCAACCATTAATGCCAAGTTTCTGTATTGTTAGCTTTCTTTCTTTCTTTCTTAGAAACAAGGAAGTCCCCTGGCCGATGAAGACCGCATCTTTACGAATCTGTACGGCAGACATGACTGGCGGCTGAAGGGTGCCATAAGCCGTGGCGATTGGTATAAGACTAAGGAAATAGTAGAAAAGGGCGCCGATTGGATCATCAATGAGATTAAAATTTCCGGCCTGAGAGGCCGTGGTGGAGCCGGCTTTCCCTCTGGAATGAAGTGGTCCTTCATGAACAAACCATCCGATGGTCGGCCCAAATACCTGGTGGTTAACGGCGACGAGGGCGAGCCAGGGACGTGCAAGGATCGCGAGATCCTGCGCCACGATCCACACAAACTTGTGGAGGGCTGCCTAATTGCTGGTCGCGCTATGGGAGCCTGCGCCGCTTACATCTACATACGTGGTGAATTTTACAACGAGGCGTCCAACATGCAAGTTGCTATAGCCGAGGCTTACCAGGCCGGTTTAATCGGAAAGAACGCCTGCAACTCTGGCTACGATTTCGACATTTTTGTGCAACGAGGAGCGGGTGCATACATTTGCGGTGAGGAGACCGCTCTTATAGAATCTATTGAGGGAAAACAGGGGAAACCGAGGCTAAAACCACCATTTCCAGCTGATGTCGGCGTGTTTGGATGTCCCACAACCGTCACCAACGTCGAAACCGTAGCAGTAGCGCCTGTAGGTGTTATTAATATATTTTTTCTTCTATATTTTATTTTTTTATTTTAGTCTATCTTTTATTTTATAAGATTAAAAAGATCAAAATGTAGGAACAAATAAAAAATACAAAATTAATAAAATGTATATTTAATTAATTGTATTAAATATACGTACATTTTATAATATTATATTATATATTAATTTTTTATTTGTTTATTTATTTTAGTCTTGTATTTGTTAATTTAATACAAGGCCATTTTTTGTATTTATTTCTTATTGAAAATATTTATACAGACAATCTGTCGCCGAGGTGGAGCGTGGTTTGCCTCATTTGGACGTCCACGCAATCACGGAACCAAGCTCTATAACATCTCTGGGCATGTGAACAATCCATGTACCGTCGAAGAAGAAATGTCCATTCCTCTGAAAGAGCTGATTGAGAGGCACGCGGGAGGTGTAATCGGAGGATGGGATAATTTGTTAGGTGTTATTCCCGGTGGCTCTTCGACTCCAGTCATTCCTAAGAGGTAAATAAAGAGATTGTCGTCCAATGATTCGATTTCGTTCCAAAAGTCACAGTCAAAAATTTTAGCGCGTGCGACACCGTTTTGCTGGACTTTGATGATCTCATCAGAGTACAAAGCTCGTTTGGCACGGCCGCAGTAATCGTGATGAATAAACAGACGGATATAATCAAGGCCATCACTCGTTTGATAAGTTTCTACAAGCACGAATCCTGCGGTCAGTGCACGCCTTGCCGCGAGGGTATCAGTTGGATGTATAAAATACTAAAAAGGTAAGAATTAACATTTTATCTCGTATATAAAAAATTATTATCCGCGCGGGTAATACTTTTGAGATTTCCATGGGTACTTTTTGCATAGAAGCTATGTGGGTTATCTCCGTATATATATCCGTTCTTGGAATGCCAATGTTTAATGAACTACAATGTTCATGAAACGTTGCTTTTATATTATTATTCGGTTTTATAATAATTTTTTTTCGTAGATTTGTAGAAGGTAACGCCGAGGTACACGAGATAGACATGCTGTGGGAACTTACGAAACAAATAGAACTGCACACGATATGCGCTTTAGCGGACGGCGCCGCGTGGCCTGTACAGGGTCTGATCAGGCATTTTAGGCCAGAAATCGAAGCGCGTTTGAATGAACAGAAAAGAGCGACATCGAAAAGTTGAGATAAAACTGGAGATTAGAGAGAATATAACGGGAAGAGATATTTAGAACAATCCCTGTAAAATTTTATATTTATTTTCAGTGTATATAAATGAATATAAACACGATAGTCACGATTCCTCTGTAATAATGTTTCTTCGAACCCGGGTTGACATCCATCCTGGAAGTTCGACTAATAAAGGAAACATATAGAGAAAAACCTTATTATATACGTGCAGATTTTAAGTGTTCCTTAGAAAGATCATGCGTTAAACAAAATTAAATCGAAACTCTCGTAATGTTTAACATTTATGAAGAAAAGTAAAACCAACGAAGCAAAGTGCTTTGAAGCGAAAATTCGTCTAACGATGGCCATTCACCGCTAGAAATTAGAAGGAATAATTATATGTGGAGTACGAAAGAAAAATTGATAAAATTAAAGTTGATTCAATATGGTAGACTTCTATTATATTAAGGAATTTATAAGTTCTACATGTGTGTGCGTGAATCACACAAACGATCCTATCTTACCTTTTCAAAAATAATACTCTGGAAGAGATGGCGACATGAAAATATGCAACAAGCCACTGTGAGATTTTCAGTAAAGTAAACGACATCGGAGAGAAAGGATCGTGTGCGCGAAAAAATATGAGAAAATTCGATTTATATCCTCGAATATTGGCCGAGTTTACTTAGAGTCATGTAAGACTAATATTTACCTCCCACGTTTTCTTATGCAAATAGTATGCTCTCAGTTACGCGGTTTTCGTAGAAATTACGTTACAATTCACATTGCGGGCTCTCGAAAAGCTCGTGAATTATAGTAATGGTAACGATATCGACGATGTATTACGCGAAATAAATGAGATGGCTATTGAATGGAATATTTTTGCCGAACGTCACGGCGTTCGAAGTGAAACGAGTGTCGAACCTCTCGTTCATGAATCATGCATACGATTCAAATAACGCAAACCGTGCTACTTGCAAGCTCGAAGTGAAACGTAAGACTGGGTACATCTGAAGAGAATATTCGCCGCAGTTTTATCGAACGATACTTTGCATTTATTCGTTCATCATACAAGAGAATTCGCTAGCACTAAATGTTCCGCCGGCTACAGTACGGATAATAATGTGACTTTAGGATATACGGTACAATGTGCGTATACAATACATATATACAAAAGCACGTTCGCTCGTTCCGCAGACCGGTTGCGTCTGCTTTCCCTGTCTCTCGTTCTCTCGCACTCTTTCGTTCTCTCCCGCTCTCTCGCTCCCTTCTCTCTCTCTCTCTCTCTCTTAGCGCCACTAAAGTCGGAACTGTCTTTTTCGCGGTTTCTCGAATTATCGTTAGTTACTTAAATAATAGATTTAAGCTAGCGCCATTACATTCTCGGGGTAGTTCGCCGTAGGAGGCGAGCTGTCCCGGTTGTGTTAGTAAGCGCACACACTGTCTTTTATGATAGGTCCGTTGTGTTACGTTACCTCCATTCTCTTATTTTCATCTTATGTATACATATATTTATATTATCTATACCAAATCCACATTTCATTCCGTTGCGCATCCAATATTACATTCCTTTTTATTTTCGCTTCTCCTTTATTCTTAACTCGCGGGCAGTGATGGCAGGATCGATTCATCCCAAGTGCTCGCTCCAGATTGAAAAAATATCTAGGCACCATACTAACGACGCACATTTTTCTCGAACATTTTTAGGCACTAATATATCGCACAATATTATATAGCATTCAGCGTTAAGCCTTAAGTACTTCGAAAAAGGATAACTCTTTCAATGGTCGTATCTTGATCCCATCGAGTGTCCAGTTTGTTAAAAAGGATCTATCAAGTTAATAGCTCGCCAGTTCTAAAAGCAGTCGTTCCTAAGGCTCTCACGCTCTCGTTTCTAAACTAAAATGGGAAGCTATTCTAAAGATATACTTAGCAAACACACAATTTCCGACCGTACTAAATGTAAATTAAGTATACGTCGCGGCAGTACGAACTTAATTTAATTTAAATCTTGTTGTTACGGCATATCGTAACATAATAATCGTAGGTCGTAGCACTTGTGTCGTCGGAAATCATCCCTCGGCAAACTCCAGACACGGTCGCACGTGAATTGGCCCCGTTAGAAAAAGAGATGTATGTTGGATTATGACATTAAGAGTCAAAAAGTCGCTAATTTCATCGGAAGGCATAGTAATCTGATGCATCCGCCGCGTCTGTAACTTCGCCCAATTGTTTCTGGATCACTTCCCATCACTGCTCACGACGACTTAACGGTCTCTCGACGCTGAAATACAGGCTCTGCAGCCCGCGTAACACGCGAAACGTGTTTTTGCTACTCGCCCGTCGCTGTCCGCCGCTCTTGTGCACACGTTTGTGCCGCGCGTTATCGCGCCGAATGACGCAAAACAGACCCCGTATGCGTGTACGAGGACTTCGACATCGCACAGAACAAGCGCGTATGCAGCACGATCGTTCGGAAATAAAAAGTTCATGAAACAACAGCAACAACAATAGTTACTATCCATTTTTACGCAAGTGACACTAACAATGAGTCTAAAGTCATGTGAGTACTTTTTATTCGTATACAGATAATGACGTTTACTACATGCTTACTTCGGTGACAAAGTTATTTCAAAGTTAACAATACAAGTTATCTCATTTTTAATGTGAATTAACAAGACTCACATGTCCGTTTCTACCTATGCAGTTTAATTTTAATCTTGGTTTAATTAACTCTTCATCTTTTTCTAGTTCTTGGAATTAAAAAAAAATATAAAGAGTGAGTTGAGTCGAGATTAAAGTTGATCTACGTTGGTAGAAATGGACATCAGTAAAGAGCACACGGTTTCGAGCTTGCATAGATTGTAGGTAAAAACTCGCAATCAGTTGAACATCACTTGTTAGAACGAAAAGGAACGCGCATTCAACTAAGTTACGACGTTATAAATGAGAATTATCTGAGTTTTGATGTAAATGGAAACTAATTTCTGCGATAGCGAATGGAATAACGGCGGACAGGAGAAGCCTGCAACTTGCAAGCTGATGGAAGTTGAAAACACACACGCTTCGCGTGCTTTTCGCAGACTCTCGAAGACTCACGGAGACGAGAGAACGCGACGACTTGTAATAAAATAAAATTGTAGCACGTTTTGCTCTCGCATTTTTCACTCTCGCTCCTCGGATTGTACTTGTTGCGAAACACCTTGCACACAGAAAAATACTTACTGTACAAGCTAGTAATAATTATTTGTGTTTCAAGTATTTCAAATATTCATATATCCGCAAATCTATCATAGTTCATCACAAGCGTCAAATTTATATTCAAAATATATTCTAAGTCCTATTAAGTTTAATATTCAATCAAGATTGAATAAAGTCACTTCTTCGATCAATTTTATAATATTCTTCAAAAGAAAATAAATTCTTGTTTCGATTACATAATAATGAGAGTTTTTCTAAATTTATAAGTACATTTTTAAGTTTATTATCAAGAAAATATTCTTTGTTAGAGATAATCGTTGCTTAAAAGGAAGAAAATTAATTGTGTATATAATCACTTTTCTTAACAACAGAGTGATATTTTTCTGTGTGTGTTCTCCCCTTCGACCCGACCGCGCGGTAGGACCACGCTCATCTCGAGATATCTCGTCGACCTCGAGAAAAGGTACGTTATGCACGATATGATTGAAAGCTCGCTGGTCGCACGCTCTTTGGCATGATCATTGGCTGTCTTCCGGCAAGATCACGCTTATTGTTGGAGAAATCTGCCGCTGGACTCACGCCACCGCACATGGATTCCCCACTTTAAATATCTGCCATAAAAATAGACGCACCTCTATCGCAGTTTCCGTACGTCAGCCCCCTACCTATGCCACTTCGGAGGATACAATTCTACCTCCTTCTATTCCTCCTCTTTCTCCCTGTCGTTCTGAATTCAAGGAGTCTATTCTCGAAACAGTGCGAAACGTTTCGTGCACGTGTGAATGGAAATCGGACCACTGTCTTCAACGAGAACGCGGTCTCGTCGTCGTAGGAAATAATGCCGATTACCATACGTGGTGTCCACAGTTTCGAGAATTGCACTCGATATCCTACGAAGAACTTGGCGAACTTGGCGCGTTAGGAGACTGACGAGTAATTTCCCGTTTCTACCAATGTAGATTAACTTTAATCTCGGTTCAACTTATTCTTCATTTTTTTTTCTAATTCTTAGAACTAGAAAAAGTTGAAGAGTTAGTTGAACCGAAATTAAAATTGAACTACAGAAATAAAAACGGCCATAATAGAGACAGGGCCGGCGAAGTAAATTTTTCACATGTGTGGAATAGTCAACGGGCGAGAGGATCTGATTAGAGCTAAATTTAAATATTTTAATAATAGATTTATATATATATATATATCATCTACTCTCCTATCATCAAATGTAGCCCTTTGCCACATTTTATTGGTCGCCCAAAGGAAGGAAGATTCTGCCATGAGCCAATGGAGCGCGCAGCATTGTTCATTAAAATATCGCCAATAAAAATCCAATAAATTACTTGTTAAAAATTTATATTACATGTAGCTCGACATGTGTGAAAATTCAACACGTGCCAAATTCACATGTGTAGAGTATTTCACCACTCTATACACAGTTCGTCGGCCCTGAACAAAGATACCACATCATAGAGTTTCCTACTAGCATTGATACCGATGTATATATTTTTCTCTTTAAAGTATATTAGCGATATAACCACTATACGATAATACGGAAATCGCAGGACTTCGTTGAAATTGTTCCAAAGCCGGAGCCGTCGAGGATAAATTTATCTCCCAGTTATAGCTGACTTCTGTCAAGCCAAAGTACTGAGGTGGATTTGATGCCAAAAGCAACACTGTTGCCGAATATAATCGATATCGTCTGTTCACTTCCGTCCGATTTGAAGTCAATTTTAAAGTCAAATTCGAAGTCACGACGGTGATTTACCGAGAACGTCTCCCGAGAACGCTGATCGAGTGCGAAACGTCACATACTACCGCTACTTCGCGCGCCGTCGTTTATTCTTAGATGATAAGACATTGCTTCTGCAAAGTGCTGGAATTTTGAGAAATGGATCAAGCGGTATCTCTCGTGAATCAATGAATTCCGTAAGATTGGAGAGTAACAGTCGCGCCCGGACCGGACGACTTCTTGCGGCCATAGAAAATAGACGAGAGACGCGTGGCTTTCCACGTTTCTATGTACGTCATAAATCAAGATGAATGATACGATCCATCGGAATACCACCTCCGACAGATGCATCAATCTTCTCTAACATGTTAGGGGTACCTCGCTCCAGTGGCAGTGACTTTTTGACCGCTGCTGCTCATAAAAGCGACCGAGACTATCGCGTTTTCCAGAACATACATTTGTCTCAGTCTGCTAGAGCGTTTGCACAAATGATTTTTATATACAAATTTCTGCGCGTGAAATATCATTCGTATTACAATTGAACGAAAATTATTCAGTTAATCGTATCTTTCCACATCACAATTTAAAATAAAATTATCTTTCATCTTTGCCGCTTCGCTGTGCGGCTGCATCTTTATTGTTAAATATTTTGATCGATAAATATCGCGGTAATATAATCACAGATCGTCTATGTTTGTCACAATATATCTTTCTGATAGCAAAAAAAATCAATATTCATCATTGATTCGGAAGCTACAACGAAGTCCTGCGACTTACAAGATCCACATCGATCAACCGACCATGCAAGAACATTCTTACGGCTGTTACGCGGAGAGAAACGATTGTAGGAACAATCACATTGCATCTTATTACGACATCTCGGCGCAACTTTACTGCGTAACTGTACAAAGCGCTCCAGGTTTGCTCGAAGGAAACATGATTGAGAAAATTGCTGCGGTGAGACAAAAATAACAATAATGATAATCTGATTTATTAACTGTCTCCCGAAATCGGGACAGCTTTGCGGTAATAGGATCGGTAACAACGGTTGTCTTTTGTCGCTATGATTAATCCGCATAATAGCGTCGCGTCTCGGATCGTTTCCCGCGTAAAATCGTCGCATGAGGGATTTGTGCGAGACTTTGCCAGAAATATAACGAAACGAGAACGCACGCGACGGGCAAATTTGTCGCGAGAGAACGAGCGTGAATTTCTGCGCATAAACGGTGACCCGTCGGAATCGCTTCATTATAACGCCAAGTTGTCGCTTACGTATCGACAACGAGTTTGCAGAAATGTACATATCGAGCGACGTGAGATTGTTCCAGCAATCTCCATTTCTCTCGGATCGCAGCATCCCGGAAAGTCCGACGGCCAAGTTGTAAGGGGATGCACGTTTGTGTCTACTGTGTGTATATGTCTGCATGTATGCGTATTCGTCTACATGTACTTGTTTGCGTACGATGGTCAAGATCGCTCATTGGCGGATGGAAGGCACGGGGTAAGGATATCAAAAAAGAGGGTTGAGACTCGATGACGACAACGACAACGACGACGACTGCTCGCCAAGGAATCCGTGCGGATCGTCTTCGATCACGGTGTCTGAACTATCGATCGTCGCCGGTCCAATCGCTCGCCGCCCACGCGGGTAGCGGCGTTTCGTACTCCCATCCCGGACCGCAGTAACGCCACGCGTGCAGATACATCACCAGATCTGACGGCTTCGGGTCCCTATACTTGACTTTGCACTCGTAACAGTGCGGGTCAACAGTGACCTTGTCGTTGGCGAAAGTGGAATCTGGCGGTTCCGAGCCTGTCTGCGTTCCCACGGTGACTTTGAGGGATTCCTGTTGCGGCTGCTGCTGTTGCTGCTGCTGTTGCTGCGGTTGTTGCTGCTGTTCGTCCTCGACCAAACCCGGGGTGGATGATGGCGAGGAGCCGTTGTCCTTGTCATTGCCGGAGCCCAGCATGCGTTCCTCCAATTCCAGTTTCGGCTTGAACAGGCTCATATCAGAATCGCCGTCCATACCGAGCCAATTCTCGGCGTTATGAATGCTGATGAGATCTCGGACGAGTTCCTCATCGGTCTTGCCAATATTACCGCCCTTTCCCTTATGCGGCCCAAAGACCACGTGATTGTAAAGAGGATCGTTCACCACGGGATAGCCGAGGTACTGCAGGTGGACGCGGATCTGGTGCATGCGTCCGGTCTGTGGCTTGCACAGCACCACCGACGATTTGCCATTGTAGCTGAGACGCTTAAAGCGGGTGACGCAATCTTTGCCTTTCTCGGAGACCTTGCAGACACCGATCTTGTAGGAGACGACTTCGATTGGCTCCGAACAGATCACCTCCTCCTCAGGAAACTCACCCTCCACTCGGCACACGTACTGTTTGTGAACCTGGAATGTGAAGACATACAACATATACGAAACGATTACAGTTGTCGTATTCGTACGCCAATGTAAGCGTCTCCGTCATTTAACGATGGACGAGCGACGCCAGCTGCATCTATATGTTTTTCTTTCTCGCATACCCGAGACGTACGCTTATGCAACCAACCTGTCGATTTCTTATTTGGTGCTCCATCTGCCTTGCCTTCTTCGGCGTTCTACCGAATAGGAGAATGCCGCTGGTCAACCGGTCCAGCCTGTGAATAGTTCTGAGATTCTTCAAATTGTATTCCTTCGCCAGGATGAAAACCACGGTGTTGTGCCGATAACGACCGCATGGATGAACCTGCAAACACAGACACGATCAAATGATTTTATTTTCGCTTCTTCGCGCTTCGCTTACGTCTGATACTTGAAGTGCTAAGAGAAGATATAATCTAAGAATCCAAGAATTGTATAAATACTATGAAAAGGAAAAATCGAGACAATCTATGTAGTTTCGTCCTACTCTGAAAAAAATTTTTATATTTGTAATCAGAGTTGGCAAACGTTATTTTTCAGTTATTTTGTCGTTACTTTTTATAGTAAACAATTTGATGACGATGTTGCAATTTTTTATGACGGTAACGCTAACTAACTGAACACTAAGGTTGTATTAAGGTTAGAAAAGTCACTTTGAAAAGTAACTTGTCACTATTACGCGTTACACTGAAAAAGTATAACGAGTAACGCATAACGTTACGCGTAACGTTACTCGTTATTAAAAAGTAACGCGTTACAAATTAGGAATTATTTTTTTTTCAGTATTTTTTTCAGAGTTAGTTTTTTCAACGAATGACTTTTTCAATTCATTACAAGTAACGATTAAAACTTTTCTAACTTTGATGTTAGCATTACCATCATAAAAAATTCACAATGTCATTACCAAATCGTTATTATATACAAAGTAACGTGTTACTTGCCTCTGTGTTACAACTCTGTTTGTAACTATATTATTTGTATTGTGACTATAATTATACATGTTACTATAATTATGATTATTACTGCTGTTAGTAATAATAACTATATGTGTAATTCTATCAACAAATATGTAGAGTTAGTACCCAAAAGTATAGTTATTATTACCATAAAAATGATAATAATAAATATATGAAAAGTTTATGAAATACGAAAGTAATCCTAGATGCCTCGCAAACTTACACTGAAATTATAGTTAAACTATAATAATTGCAATTATAGTTATTATTATCATAAAAATGTAGTTATCATCATTTTTACGATAATAATAGCTGTAATTACAATTGTATTACAATTTAACTATAATTTCAGTATAAGTTCGCAAGGCATCTAAAATTACTTCTGTATTTCACGCTTTTCATAAAGTGATGTTAAACCAGAATATCTTCAGGAAATGAGATGTGAACGATAAATTTACGGAGCTTACACTACTTAATGAATGTACTCAGTGCCTATCGGCATGTGGCCAATGTAAATTCGATGTAGGCACAGAAACACACGATGTATGTCACATACACACAACACACACACTCATACGTGTACGCATTCACGCAAGAGCGATCGACCCATTTCTCCTGGCAAATTCGGGACAAAAAGCACTCAGGTCTACAAAGGAAGGTCGATTCATCGTTTTGAATCGTTATGGCAGTATGGCACAGGAACGACGAGCTTTATGCATTCCGGCCGACAATGCGGATTTGTAGGTACAACGACCGGCTGGCTGACTAGCTGGTGGATCGTATCGGACTCTTCCTGGCTCGATAAGTCCGCGCGTCTATCAGCACCAAAGTACACGTATGCACAATAATGTACGTCGGCTATCAAACGCCCCCAGCGACTCGGCGAACCGCTACAATAATCCGGGGATCGAAGGCACTTTTCTATTCGCCACCGCTAGGATTTCACACCTTCCGTGTATTCCTCTCTCTCTCTCCGCTATAAAATGAATTTCAAGAATTTCGAGCAAGCGAACGAATTCCGAATTTTTTTATAATTTTATCGTACGCACGAGTTTTCCCGGCGTAAAACTTTGTTATGTAAAATCTAAAAATGTATAACTGAATCTGTTTTCTTCGTCATTGCATTGTTAAATTCATAATATCAAATTATACTCATTTTCGCTACTACTCTTATTCAATACGCCGTTAATTTAATAACTAAAGTAGGAACTAAACAATTTTACTCAAACAAATATATTAAATCGCACTAATTATGTGCACTCAGAAAAAAATGTTTATTTGACTAAATTAATTTCGTTAATATGAATAATTTTTTCTCAGTGTGGAAAATTGGGTTCCAGTCGACTTAATGTGGCGAATGAAGATGTTAATAGATATAAGATAATGGATAGCTTTTAAGATATATCAAAGCTGCTTTGTGAGCACAAGTTTACACATTTGATACATCGTAGCTTAAAAACAATCCATTATTGTTCATGACATCTTTTATTCACCACATTATAAGCCTACATTACATGTGAAAATTAATTCCTTTTTGCCCAAACCCAATTTCCCACATAATTAGTGAGTCGTTTTAACCAGCTTTAACTCAAATTTAGTTTATTATTTACTAAATGCATTCATATATGTGAACGTTGTTTATTTCGAAATTAGCCACAGAGATGGATTGATTTACATTTTGACATACGTAGAAGTTAAAAATAATAAAATATCATATTAACTCGAAGAATTGAGTTATCATTGCTCCTTTGGTAACTAATAATGCATGGTTTTCTAATAAATATAATATTACATGAATGTAAATATATTAATGAATTATTATTATAATATTATATTACTAATATAAATATATTAATCTGAATACAATTATATTAACACAAATACATTAATGTAATTAAAATTTTATAAATTAAATCATAACATAATGCGGTACTGTTAAAGTGATCTAAATGCGATACGAAAAAGTTGAATAATTTTGCTATTGTCACAATTCACGCAGAGCGAAGAGAGAGAAACAAGGAAGCGAAAGCGACACGACAAAGTCGTGGTGCGCCACAATTGCATAACGGTTTTAACGATGTCTGCGCGCGAAAATTAATTCAATTGTCGGGCGGTCGAGATCTCTTCGCGGCAGGGCAAGGATGGAAAAAGGTACTTGAGAAAACGGGGATGGATGCGAAAGCGAACCATTAAATCGTGCATCGCGCTCGTGCTTCGCCGAGTACCTACTTGCGCGTCGGATTATTTTTGCATTAATGCCCGGCTGTTTTGTTGCGCAAGCTCTTGTTAACGATCCCTCTCCGAGGACGCAGCCACCGGTGCATTCGGTGACATTTGAGAGGAAAAGTGGCCGAGCTTAGTTCTCCGAGCTCGTATTTATCACCGAGCAAAGCCTCGCGGCCCGTCGCGTAGGAGAATAAAACTTGCAACCACTGCGGTGGCGCACAACTAACGGTCCCGACAGCGAAAACGAGAAAAGAGAACAGAGGGTAAAAAGATATATAGAGAAAGAAAAAGGGTGCGTTAAAGTCTCATAAGCTGGTCTCGCGAGCCATCTTCTTTTTGGACACTTTGGGACGCTTTATTTTCTCGGCAGGTGTATACGTCGTCGCGCGTTTATTATCGTTTGCGAATTGAAATAACTGAGATGAAAATTGCTGCGAAGTGGAAAACGAAAGGGTGTTAAACTCGTTCCGAGGAAACCACCGTAACCGTTAATTTACGCCAATGAATCACCGATATCATCGGTTTAATGCATCGGACTCGCGGTATTGCATTTTATACTCGCCGAGAAACGCTCCTGTCCTTTACCTATGTATTTTACTATTTTTACAGCGGAGTCCGCAAAGTCCGACATTATCGCGGAGCGGCAATAATAGCGCGCGGAGTAAATTATTCGTGATTTGCGAGCGCCGTAATGCGCACGATTAACATTTTAATAGTGAGTTTTATTCGCGCGGTTGCGGCCGTAGTGCATCGCGACCGCGGGACATTTATGCGAGTCGCCTGCGTGTGCGCGTAAATTCTAAATTCCCTTTTTTTCTACACGGTTTTTTTTTTTTTTTTTTAGTCATAACTGTGTCGTATCCCGAAGTATACCAGGAGAGACCGAGGTCGCCCATAGGTGATGTCGAAACATTGCATTTTAAAAAGGCAAAGCTCGTCAGAGGCCCTTGACATTTGACGCATAACATCTGTAAACCGCGTTGTTTTGTTAGTCACCGTCTGAAAAACGACTCGTTAGCGGTGATTTAGTCGCCTTCCACACGTCGAGAAAGAAAGAAAGAAAGAAAGAGAGAGAGAGAGAGAGAAGGAAATAAAAGAACGTTAACGAAATCAGAAGGTCGACATTGAAGGAGCGGAAGTTTGCGCACCCCGGTTGAGACACGCTAGAATTTAATTTATGGGGTACACTCAAGTATGTATATTTAGACAAAGCGATAGAAAATTTCATTAGTGAGAATGCAAAAGAATAGAGTCTGGAAATTCTAAATTTTAACAGCGATGGGACTTTAACCCCGTGAAAACATGCTCTAGGAATAATTTTCAATAAAGCTCTGCGGTTGTATACATTATATTTGTAAAGGCAGCTTTTGGAATTTTTCAGATGGGCTGAAACGCGAACGGACTTCGAGTGTCAAGCGATTTGGTTGCGTGGAAAGTGTCGAGGAACATGCAAAAGAGTACTTGTGTATATGCGTATATGTGTATATATATGCGTATGTGATGTTTTCGTGGCTTGGACAATACGACAAACAATTTTTTGGCAGTACAGTTCTGGCAGTACACCACTTACAGGGATGGAGGCGGGCTTGTTGACCACGACGACGTCCTCGTCCATGTGTATCACCGTGATCGGCTCCGAGGTGACAGGCACCTCGTGTCTGCAACACACCAATCGCAACCAGCTTAACGTGGCTTTGTTCCGTTTGCGCTTACACATCTCGCACACGCGTACGTAGTGCATGTATGTAGACGTACACGTAACACACAAACGCACGCACGCGCACACGCACACGCACAAAACACATACACATACACACACACACACACATTCGTACGTACACGCGATAGACGGTATCGAAATGTCAAGTAGTTTTCGCACAAATAGACAGTACCAAAGCATGGACCGCATTCGTATCCAAGTAGCCCATATATATCTATAAATGCATTGAGAGAAATATTTTGGTACATATAACCATTTATCTTGTTGATATGTGACTAACAAAACTTTCTTTTTCATTAAAAAATTGTGTTCTAATTAAAATTTGATTATTGTAATCAAATTTTGATTAGAACACCAAATTTGATTAGAATAATAAAAATTGTATTGTTCTAATCAAAATTTGATTATTCTAATCAAATTTTCATTAGAATAACACAATTTTTAAGTGAAAAAATAAGAAGTTTTTGTTAGTCACATATCAACAAAGTAAATATACATACCAAACATTTTTCTGTGTGGTGAACAAAAATGAGAGAGAAGGAGTGAAGACGACCAATTTCCCTCTCTTTCTAACAACATTACATCGACATCACTAAACGCTCAGTGATTAAGAAAGGAATTAATATGTTTATTTATTATAATATTATAATATTTATTATAATATAATATCATAATGTAGAATAACTTATCTATTATAGATAATTTTTAATATTATATTTCTTACTTGTTATTGATTATTATTTCTCTAAGGCCATGTGAGTGACATACTATAAGATTACGCTCACATCGCTCACATTCTCACAATCTTAGAGAAGTAATAAACAGTAATAAGTAAGTAAGAAATATAATATTAAAGATTATTTATAATAAATAAAAGTTTTTATTCTACATTATAAATATTATAATAAATAAACATATTCCTTTCTCGCTCACTGAGCATTCAGTGAGTGGTACTAAATGCCCCCAATATCTTTGGACAATATACCCGTGGGAAGTACTGTCAACCGCTTCAGATTGTTAACCGGTAATCAAGTTTGATATTGTAGATAATTACCATGATATCGAGGAGAAACGGTGATCGCCAATTAGTAATCGCAAGCGACCGGTTTATCGCGATTCATTGTTGGCAATCGGCAGTCAACGCCACGCCCGCACGCATGCTACGCTTTTTCGCGATTCTATTCACGTGCGAATTGATTGCATACATCGTCCGACCGCAAGAGGCGGAAAAATCATGCCGTCGTGCCGACTGCATTCCTACGCATACATGCGCGCAAAAATACTCGCGCGAGGAGCCAACAGGTCGAGAACAGCGTCGCGAAAACTGCGCTTTTATCTAACGTTAAGGTAAACGTATGAAGGGCGTTCCGCGAAGCTAGATGAAGAAACAGAACGAAGGCGGGAGTGAGGAAAAAACGAAAAAAAAAAAGAAATAAATATAGCAGGTGGATGCACGTGCATGCGGCGGCTCCAATTATGAGTTCCATCTACCTAATGCATTTCCACTCCGCAAAACTACGGTCGCACCCACTACGTGTCCTATGCACGTGCGTTCTCTCTACGCGAACAATAAGGAAATCTCGACAAAGAGAAAAAACAAATACGATGGCGAGGGGGAGAGAGAGAGAGAGAAAGGGAAGAAGGAAGAGAGAGAAAAGGAGAGCTTTCGGCGCATCGAGATTGGATTTGCAAAATCTTTTCCCGTCTTTGCAAAGTGCCTCGTTCACGATAAATGGCGTTTGTGATGAAGGCCGGATAGCTGCGAATATCGGATAAAACACGTGACAAACAGAATTCAATTCGGCGAGCAAGACGTTCGTAAACTTTATAAATTGCGACACCACCTGCACCGCGGTGAAAATCCCGGAGGGCCGACGCGCACCTCTCGAAAACTCTCGAAATCGCGAATCGATGTGTCGTTAGGTCCATTCTCACGCGAATCGCATCAGAATAGATCCGGCGAAATTGTGTAGACGTAGTGACGTTCTAAGATCACGGAAGATGTTATTAAATTATCAAAGTAGATCGAAGGCGAATTTATATAATGGCATTTCACAACTGAGCGGAAAAGTTCATTCCTCGGAAACATGAAATTGTACTTCTTCAGCGATTATTAATCTAATCATCCAGAGTTTAAATAATGGAACGCGATTACTCTTTAACTTCTCGTTATATCTCTTGTCATTATTGCGTGCATTACATTTACAAAAAAAACCACGTGTGTTAGTCACGCACTATACTAATCTTTTAGCATTGCTCTATCGGTTACGCACAAATATCTATTGTTCCATTTTCCTTTTCAAGCGCACACGGAAAGAACGGTTTTTCTGAAGTATTTAAAAATTCTTATAGCTAAATAATTCAGCTGAATAATTCAGCTAAATAATTCAGAAAATAATTTGATCGGAGTATCAAAGTTATGTAGGGTGCTTAAGTTGATTGCTACAATGTTAAAAATTTTTTACAGCATTTCTCATGCTCGCATTTCCTACACTGTTACACTGTTAAATCTATAGTGTAACTATAAATGGATTGATTTACATTTTAACACACATGGAGATTAAAAATAACAAAATGTTATTTAAGTCAAAAGATTGGGTTATCATTGTTTCTTTGATATCTACATTGTTAAATCTAGTGTCAAATTTAACCTAATTTAAGTTGCCACTACTTCTACCTAATATAATTTAATATAAAATAATGATATGTATATTGAGAGTAGGCTGTAGGAGTAGTGAAGATTTAAATTATAGGTTAAATTTGATATTAAATTTAACAGTGTAGATGTCAAAGGAACAATGGTAACTCAATCCCATGACTTAAACAACAATTTTTATTTTTAACCTCCATATGTGTTAAAATGTAAATCAATTCATATCTGTAATTAATTTTAAAATAAACATCGTTCACATTAACGTACGTATTCAGTAAATAATAAAATAAATTTGAGCGAAATTTAATACATTTTCTTGAGTTAAATTGTTTAACTCCATTGTTTCAGTCAAATGAACGATATATTAGGAGGGAACAATAGCGATTTATAGAAACGATTAAAAGTAACTCAGATTGAGTAGAACTTGACATTATAAATTTAACAGTGTGCATAATTATTTTATTTGTTCAACAAAATTACTTTCATCTATTTGTATCTAGCTAAATTTTTAGATACTTCTTTTAGGTACAGCAAAATCGTTCTTTCCGTGCAAGGTAGAAATCATTGAAAACTATCACGATATATACACATGTATACTTATCCTGAGGCACATAATCGAATGCCTCTTACAGTTTCATTCGACATATTCTTCCGTGTCCTCGGGTTTTCTTAAGGGAAAATAATTCATGTTTCGCGCAGGAGAGAGCCGAAATACATATACTATGTATACCGAAACCGAGAATAAGTAACTTCTATCTTCCAATTGGCTGACACGATATTATGCAACCTCACAACGAAATGCAATAAATCGCTTCCGTCTCGTAAATCACATTTCCGCTCTAACATTTCGGGTTCGCCACTCTCAAAGTATCTTCGTTGTGCATACATACACAACGCGCGCGCGTCATAGAATCTTCAAAGTTCACGACGGAATTTCGAAGCGTGTCACATGAAGGGAACATTACATCATATATATTCCGTTCCGTCGAGATGGCGTCGGATAACACACGATGCGCTCGCGAAGTGTAACGATTCTCTTATCCTATCTTTAGTAACACTAGCAACTATTTCAGGTGCTCTGCCACTTTCAGATTCTACTCTGTCGCTCGTTTTCCATTAATTTTAACAAACTCGAATTTCCTTTATTTGTCAAACTGAATACCTAACCAAAATAACAATGTGTAGTATTACGAAAAGTAGAATCAACATAACAGTTAATGTAATGTAGAATACATAAACATTCGTCTTTTGTATCTCGCACTAAATTATTTGATACAAATCACATAGACCACCGTCTTTTTTTTTATTTGAAATTCTATCATTTTTCTAAAAGCCTTCTCGAGTTAACTATACTATATATCTATTAAAATGTCGCGTGCCACAGTTTTTCACCTATCCGTCTCGCCGTCGTTCTTCGCGTGACATTCGAAAGGTGCGACGACGTAACAATCGGTTTGCGTGCCGCTCATCGGTAGAGAACGGCGACGTCCTGAGTGTACCTTCCAAATTTAACGCAGGTCACATGCCGCAGTGACACACACACGTCTCCGCGCGACCGCAAGTTATACGCGAGCTGAGAACACCACTGGTACAGATAGCACCGAACGGCGATGCAAAAGCGCGGCGATAAATTATTGCAGGTCCAAAGAGCGCAAGGGATTATTTGTTGTTTCGTTAGTCGACAAGGGAGACAGCGGTGACGCGAAACGGTCTACCGAATTTATTTTCGGTCGGCCGTAGTAAACAAAATTGCGAAAACGCTTGCGGTTTAATCCGCAGATCCAAGAATGATCGATGATGGATAGTGATTTAGGTCTTTTTGACATCGACGCATTTTTCTGCGTTAAATAATTCTCTAATGGCAAAGTTGTGAGGTCGAATGTGACCCACGGCTTCATCAATTAAAAAATTGATTGTTTTAAATAGTTAGATATCAAAAGGGTATAATTACTCCAGTTCTGTTCATGCATTTCAAGACTAAAAAAGATTCCGGCACGCGGTTTGCAGAATTGAATACATATATAAATTCACTCTAAACTTAATCATATCGTTATTTTATACTAAAACAATAGTTATATTTGACACGATATAGTGTCAAATTTAACTATCATTTTGGTAAAAAATAATGATATATTTAGTAGGAGTAGTGGCGACTCACGTTAGGTTAAATTTGACACTATAGATTTAACAGTGTATTTCTCTCAATTGATTTACCAAAAGAGCTCTTGAGTTAAATAACATTTTGTTATTTTTAATTTCCACGTATGTCAAAATGTAAGTCAATTCCTTTCTGTGATTAGTTTCAGAGTTCGTATTAATATGTGCACTTAGTACATAATAAATTAAATTTAAAATCAAATTAATACAATTTTTTGAATTGTTACACAATAGTTGTAATTAAATTAACGAGTGGCAGCCTGAGAAATAATTGAAAATAACTCAAATTGGGTACAATTTAACATAATAAATTTAATGTACTGCAAATATTTAAAATCAGTTAATAACTTGATTATACTTTTTCCATTTACAAATAAAACAGAGGTTGAAGTTTTATGTGTTATTATTTAGTTTTTTATCCATTTTGTATACTAATTAGAGGAAAAAGAATAGATCCAGATTCAACCCCAATTTTCTGAAAATCCATTTTGCCATTAGAAAATTAATTTACACACGCGATCGATCGCGACTGAAAAGTTGCGAACAAAAAGATCGCATGCACTGAATCGATCTCGTTACACATAGAATCATTAGACGAGGTTTTGAACAATTAACCAGAATGCATGTGGCACACGATGCGTTATCGCACGCGTGTTGCCTTTCCCACCGCTTCGTCACGGACGAGAGATATAGACGCGTTAATTGTACCGTCGGGTCACGCGGGAAAGCCTGCTGGATGATTATTACAGCGCTTACGCTCTCATGCGTTTTCGTCGGGCATTTTCCATGGCTGCAACACGCCCGGTTGCGAATAAATCGTAAACTCGACGAAATCGAGGGAGCGTACAGAAAATTATTTGGTAATGAATGAATTTTGGGAAATTTCGGTACTCCGCGCACGGTTGTGTAGATAGTTCTATATATGAATCGAATAATATTGACTCTGTTCGCGCGCATGGCCGACGTTGATGCACGGGCGTCCGATATTTTCTGCTTAAAACGAATGTTTATTTTGCCGATTTTTAATTTTATGCGAATCATATGCAACGTCGGTTTACTTAAATACATATTTCAAACGTGTCAGATAGCTCCATTACGTTTTATTTTTCCCCACAATGTAAAATAGTGTATAGAAATTTACATTATTGTAAATAGAAATGCATATACAATATTATAGAACTATATGCGGTATGTAATGTACATATATTTTTTTTATATATATAAATATTTCTGTTTATAGTCCTAATATTATGACCGAATAATATTGACTTTACTTTCGCAATCACATATTGATACATTTTGCTATGCAATTTATTTGCGTAAGTCTATTTCATAATGCGGAAGGATACAAAATTTTTTAGTTACACTAAGAGAAAAACTTCATTTGACTAAATTAATTTATTTGTTTTTATTTCTTTCGTTACAGAATGTATAATGTATTTAAAAACTTTTTTCTCAGTGTATTTAGTTTCGATTTTGCGCATCCACATTCTTGTCAAAAAAAATTTGTGATAGAGCTCGTGCATGCAATCTGCACACACAGGGGTGTGGCAAACTGGAAAGCTTACGACATTAAAATTTCAGGACGCATAATTTCAGTGTAACAGCATCAATGATACATAACATTGTGCGAGAGAATGCTACGCGTCATGTTACGTGATCGTGATACGCAGTCACCGTGGACCTTCCGTGCATTCTAATTAATACATATATAATTCACGTAATTAATATATGAATGTAATCGTGTTCCACTGTTGACCCTGTCGCGACCGATCATAAGGACAAACAGCGAAGGGAAGCAACATCTGGCCTGTAATTGTATCACTCTATGTTTCGGAACGGAGCCGCTTCTCTCCGAGGAGATTTCGCCGACTAAATTTATGGTAACTATATTCTAACGAAATCAGCACGAGTCACCGTGGGAATTCACCGACGATCAACTTTTACGTAACGAGTCATCGTTGGTCGCGTCGCCAGATTACCCTTCGATAAAACATCGGTCGGACTAATCTGTCGATTTTTGCTACAAACTCGATTTCCATCTTGTAATACAAAGAATTTTAAAAAAGCTACAAAAGAAATATCTATTCAATGCTAATGCCAGACAGTTGTATATTAATTTCCAAACAATTACATATTAATTATCCCACTTTCATTACAATTTTAATGTCTCTATCATAAAATTGCTTCTCAGTTGTCATTTCAGTTGTGTATGTGTATATAACAATGTATTCAATAAAATCGCAACCTTTTATCGAGAATCGATGTAACTGGTACATACTTCTATCTTCAATTGTGTCGAGCCAGTAATAGCTTCATACATGAAACATCGATTCGGTCCAATACGCTTTAATGTGTCAAAGCGATCTCTGCTTATCGTAGAAACCGCAGCTAGCGACTATTCGAAATCAACCACACGAACTATCAAGTCCTATCAAGATGAATGCTCATGTAATGAATAACGTGATTATCGAGAAACAGATTGGCCAACTAGATGAACTAATGTCGGTTATAGTTAATTGTCTAGTCGGCGACATTGACTTCCTGCAAGATCTTCCAACCAGCTATTCAGATCCATTGTGTTCAGTTCTATTATCTCGGTTAATATTAATGCTTCATATTACAATTCAACTATCCGAAACTATAACCATTATCTGTACCCAATAATCGATTCGACCAGAAATATTTTATTCAAAAAACGTGAGTATAATACTTCAATTACTATTATACACGAAAAGAAAAATAGTTTTAGTGAAGTATCTAAAAAAAGTTAGATATATAAATCTAAAAATAATATTTTATTGGACCATCAAAATAATTTCGCTTAAGCTGGTTGCTGAAATACTAAAACTTTTTGCAGCGTTGCTCATTATGCTTGAATTTCCTACATAATTATTTTGGTGGTCTAACAAAATTATTTTTAGATTAGTATCTATCTAAATTTTCAGATATTTCAGCAAAATCGTTCTTTCAAAATCGTCCTGGATATAGATATATTAAAAATAAATCTATTAAAGAGAGAGTTGAACAACATTACCTGTTTGCACATGGTTGGACATAATTATTGTAACGACAGCTTTTATTTGACAATTGTTAATACTTTATTTTTTGTATTTTGTTAAATTTTAGCGCATATTCCGCATAGAATTTTTCTCTCACTCGCTCTCTTATTGAATATTTACTTGCTGCTCAAATTTCGAGGGTGCAATTAATCTTTATTTTTCGTTGTTATTAAACTTGATATATATATTGATACAATTTTATTTTATCGCACGATCTACGGCTCCTCTTTATTTCCACAATTCCTACAATTCCCGATTATCCGCGGAATCGTTCGATTATCTCTTGAGAAATGATTTTTCCCAGGACTCATTAGCTACTTTCTGAAGTAGCATCGCGCGATTTCGCTTCGTTAGGCCCAAACAGACAGGTCGATTCCGAGCAGCGGTTAAATTTCCCAAAGGCACAAAGGACCGCGCGGACATAAAACGATTATCGAGCGATATCAGACCGCAAGATAGACTTCGCCCGGCAAAGTTCAGCGGCAAGCAGGTAGATCGTTAATTCCGCCGGATTGCAGGCGAATCCCGGGGTCTTGTCACGACGGAATGCGCTCTCGAGACACACCCCGGGAACACTTGGAATTTAGACACGAGCTCGACCCGAGTCCGACATGAGCGGCCTCACTACGTAAGGAACAAGGCCGATTGACATAAAGGACCGTAGGGGAACGTGGCAGAGTTAATTGCAGTTAGAAATTGTTAAGTTCCGAGAGTTAGGCTACTTGACCTAGATCGTTCTCGAAAAACATTATAATATCGCGTTAAACATTGATTTAAACTTCGTGTAATAGTCGTTAATCTGTTTCTCTATTAGCATTGTTAGCAATAACAATAACAATAACAATAACCTAAATATATTTGATTGTATTTTACGCGTAAATTGATAAGATTTATCCTATTGTCATAGAATTTGATGGCATAATATTCATAAAGAAAAAATCCTATTTTCAAGATCCCTATTCAAAACGGATCTTGATACCTATAAACTATTAGTAAGGCAGATCCAGAAATTAGTCAAGGGGAGGGACATTGACGCGCCGTAAGTAAAATTTTTTTAAAGTCAAACATGACAAGATAGAATATTAAATTATTATTTAAATTATTACATTGAAAAAATATTATTAAAATGTACAAAATTAATACAAAAGAAGAATAACATAATAGAATCTATGTTTTTATATTTAAGAGTTTCTTAAATTAAACTATATTTTTGAAATATAAAAATTGTAATTAAGCATTTCAAAAATATTAAAAATATATGTAACACTTTGTGCTATAAATATTTTTAAAAAGGAGACTTCAGGAGTGGTCATGGTTCCCCCCGTAAATTCGCCAGTATACATGTGATGATTTTCCAGTCCTTTACAACACGATGAATTCCGAGTCAAATTTTATTATTTTACTATTTTAACAAATATACAAAAACTATTGAGTAATTCTTATGTGTACTTTAACAACTTTGTAAAGTACCTATTAAAGTTGTATATTTAAAAAATTATATATAAATGTTATGACAAATTCTATTTGATGCTCCTAATTTTTCAAAGAAAAAAATGAGCAAGACACAAACGACTAAATCGTGTGTACTAAGGGTAAATAATATTCGCATATAAATTTACAAATACAGTTTTTAGTTCTATAAACTGCGATTCGATTTATTAGACTTGAGACAATTATAAAATGAAGCTAGAAATAACCTCATAAATTATATTAATCGTTCATTTAACTCTCCGTCTGTAATCTGGATTTCTTTTTGGTATAAATGAAATTTCACCCTTAAATTTTAATTTCTGTTAAATAGAAGTTTTAACATTTAAATTATTTCAAAAACTATTTGGTAATGTAATATAATAGAGGTATTAAAAAGTAACCCTATATTTTTTCACATTTTTTGAAAGCATAGAACAACAAAAAACTTAAGGACTATTTTTTATTCTTGCAAACAAGATTGTATTAGAACTCTCGCCAAATATCATATATTTATCTCACTTTCCAAAAGTGTACTAATTCAGGTGCAAAAACAGACCTTTTATCTGGACAAAAAGTACCAGACGGAAAGAGTAAAAATATAGTTGCAGACAGAGAGTTAATAATGATGCTAATAAGTATTTTAAAAGATTCCACTTATATAATAATAACATTAAATTGCAACTCTAAAGATTCCACTTATGATAAATAACATTGTAATCATTTCTAATTACTTAAAATATCCAAAATGTCAGACGGTATTTTTATTCAATGCTTCAAATATTCAATAAACCGATATCCACCGATTGTTCAACGTCACCAAACGAAAGTGCTTTTGACATATCGTTGGAAAAACGTAGAGACGGCACAAATATAAAAGCGCAAACAGATTACATCAACCCGGTCGGTCAACATCACGGATTCCTTCGCGACGTGGCGGCAGCGTTGAATTAGAATTTCATGAGAATTCTCAATTAGTTTGAGCGTGCATAGGTAGCTTGTCGCGCACTCCTAGGCACACAGATCGTAAGACGAGCCGGTGACTTCCTCCGGTAATAGATGGCGACTCCTAGCCAATTTCAAATTACGTCGTGACCGCTAAATCTACCGAGAGATTAATCCATCGTAAATTATACGTTAACTGAGAACGCGATTAGCCACCGTGAGAAAAAAAAGCACTTCGCGGTCGTTCCACGAAGGAAGGCGGTAATCTTCTCTCTCCACTTAATCTTTAAAAAAGAACGTCTTATCGCGTTTTCTCACGATCCTCGCGAGAATTGGTATATAATGAGATACGCCTCGCGATCGCGATATAATTGATAGATCGCTACGAGAGTAGAATTCAGGTATTTCTTTTTATTGCATTTGCAGAAATACGCCTCCCCTGATTGCATTCTGCAGGTAAGCAGTTTATCTGTTCTACCATCGCGTAAAATTATTCAATTTTCGCGCGAATTAGCCGGAAGGGAGCGGGTGCTTTTAGCGAAACCAAAGGCTTATGAGAGTAGGTAGTGCGGTAAAGATCGCGGGTGATGCACAGGAGCGATAGAGAAGCGTGTCGCGGGTCGAGGGCGCGACTGGAGGTCCGGCGACAGGTTGATTTATTAGCATGGACCGGGTGCACGATGGTATCGGGACGGAGGTTGGAGGTCGGGCACCTCCTTCTGCGTTTCACCCTCGTGTCCGCAACACGTAAGCAGAGTGCCCGCAGGTGTCCTGCCTTATCGTTCGCTGATCTCGCATGGATTTCCATGCTTTGAGCCCAGGGGTGCGCGATGCTCGACATTTTCCTCGAGTCATCTGTTAATTCTGGTTTATACACTGAGAAAACTGAGAAAAATGTCTGATTGGATTATTCGGAATTCTGGTTGAAAAATGCAATCTGAATAGAAAAATTTGAATTTTTTAATGGAATCTACTATTCCAGTTGAGATAACTGGAATTCTGATTTATATAATTAGAATCTTCTGATTCGTCCAACCAGACATTTTTTTCAGAGTATCCATTCGACCAGCGTGAATAAAATTCGAATAAGATCCCCGCCTTCTTCTTTCATCGCATTGTATTATTACACTGTATTATTACGTACACTGAAAAGGAATTTATTAAATTTTAATAAGTATTTGTTCAAGTAGTACTAATATAAATATTTGCTTATAGTACATAAATATTTATTCAATAAAAAAATGAAACATCGAATTAATGGTTCTTATATCAAATAAATATATGTTTACATTTAGTAAATATTTAGGATAACTGTACCTATTGGTGTGCCTTTAAACCAACTTGCTCATTACTGAATTAATTATTAAGTATCGTAGTTTTAATTTTGTTTGTTTAAAATCAATATCGGTTTTTCAATTATAATTCTTTTTCTTATAATATTTTTTTAATTTAGAAATGTTAATGTTTTAAAATGTTTTCGATAAAAATAAAAAAAAATGTTTTGTCCTAATGTTTTGTTCAACAAAGGGCGATGGATCCCTATTAATGTACCCCCAATTTATGTGTCTATCCACATTTGAATTATTTTAACATACAATTATTAAAAAAAGATAATCGATGTAAGCTATTAATTGTTTAAGTTACTAGTGCTTAAATCATTATTTTAATTATACTTACAATTTCAATGTACACTCATAACACAATGTTCTCAGCTCCAATACGGAGCACACTAACAGGGACAAGCTTAAAATCTTGCGGTATTACTGGATTCACATAAATTCTAAATTGTGATATGTATCTTTCGAAAAATGTTTACTATACTTTAATAGTTAAAAATAAAATATTATCTTTAATAACATATACATTAATAATTTGATTTAATAAAAAAGATATCTTTTCTTATTTGATTCTTCTGGTTTTCTTTATGGTTAATTTAAATATAAAGGCATAATAATAGCGACAAACGAAGTAATGGACAGTTACTACTGTTCAAACATAACCCTAATTAATACTATTCAAATATATTTATTAACATTTAGTACATTTTTCTCAATACTGCGTTATGTTGCTTTAACATATTTCGATTGCGCACCCCTGCTTCTCTAGCTCCTTGCACCGCCACGGCGTCACGCGTCTTCGCGATCGATCTTCACGCTGATTACTCTCCATTCGTGACTTGGCCGAATCCGTCGAGAGTCGATCAGAAAGCGGATATTAACCGGATTACTTCTTCAACAAACGTTACGACCGGCCTGACGCATTCCGCAAGACATTTTGTAAAACGTTCCGCGAGACGTTTTGCGTTGGAGAAGACGGTGACATGATCGATATTGCGAGAAGAAGCTCGGGAAGATTAATCGTTCAGAAGGCAGCGAAATGAAGGTGAAGAGACGCATATCCTATTCAATGCGCCGCATTCTACGGCCATTGCCGATGCATCGACGAGGACCAATTCTCTTTCGAAATTACACGGTGCTGACGGTAAAGCGAATCGTTCGCCTACGGAGGGGCTCTTCCGGCTAATTGAATCATCCTACCTAATTTCCCGCATCACCGGAAGAGACGCGAGAGAGCACCCGTAACAACGTAGGTAGACCGGGACGATCCCGAGGAACGATCCTGAAATGAAGGCTAGCAACGAGCGGACTCGACACTCGTCACGCCCACGAGTTTTCTCCAAAGACCCTTTTGAGAGGCTATTCTGGACCATCGATCGCGGGTACCACGAACATCAGGACATTAATTGAAAAATGGCAACGGAAAATGACGCGTCTCTGCCACTGAAACTCTCGACATACTCCACTCAGTGGAGCTATTATTTCTGACAATACATCGAAAGCATTCGATGTGCTTGGCGAGACCTTCAGATCTCTATCTCTAGTTTACGAGTTAATAATCAGCTATTCGCTCACGGCCATATTCTACAGATAATGATTGAATTTCCATTTTACTTAACATAGATTTTCTGCTTCTTGTAACTAAGATAAGAAAGAAAAACTTTTACCTTATTGCTCGGAGCGAATCAGGGACGCGTTTTTCTAATTTCTGCGAATGCCTGAAGAAACGCGATAAGAAGCGCTATGACGCCTGTCTCGTTACATTAATTACCATGACAAGATATTCACGGCGATCAAGTATTCACGGAATCGATTAATTCGCATTCTCGAGAAAGAAGGACTCCCATCGGCGATTCAGCATCACAAACATCGCGTTGTTTACCAGGTGATTCATGATCTGCTTTAGGAAACGATTTCCTGGATTCATGCAATCGAAATCAGCACGTCGCACCGGTGCCGACAAGGTGATGGATGTCCGAATAGAGCCGATTGCGAAAGGTTTCGCGTGTGTCGAAGCGTAATTGCGACATCGACAATTGTGTCCTTCGCGTATCTCCACCGTCGAATGTGCGAACGACGTTGTGTCCTTCGAAACATCGGTCGCTGTTTTAACTTTCTCGCCCTCGAGGCGAGATTACCGAAGTCGTTTCTTCGCCGTGTTTCCTTTCCTCTCAACCGACATGAATTCTCCCAAGGGAAACACCGAAACCTTTTCTTCGTTCTCGGACATTTCTGAGGAATTCTATGATCACGAAAGTGATCAAACGGATTTAAGTACATGATGATAACATAAAAGTTTTCGAAAAAAAAAATCGGTGCGATAAATGTTTACAGCTAAGTGGTGTAACGTTTTCGAAAGGAAGAAATTAGAACAGCGAGAAACAATCTATACAGCCCCCCATCGTCTTTTATTCTTCATATAATTAAAAAAATAGTTAATTTAGAACACTCACAAGTCAACCTCAGGAAAAACGTCAGATTTTTCTCAAATTTTTTACGTTTTATATATCAAAGTATGAAGAAATCTGTTATTAATTGTAACTCAAAATTGAGTCTTTCAATAAAAAAATATTTTTTTTATTTTATACACATATTTAAAGCAGTATTTCTTAAGAATAAATCTACAACCAAAACATTAAAATAATAATTAATAATATGCAGTTAAGAAACGGTTCCACTCGTAAAAAACTTTATTGTTAGCTCACTCAAGTCTTTGTTAAAATTTTGTGTTGAATTTTTAACATATTCGAGTGTTAATTTAATTTGATAATGTGATTATGTTATTTAAGTATTTCATATTAAATTGATATTCAACATTCCTTAGTGTGAAAGTAACACAATTTATGAATAAATGAATCAATAACATAAAAATACTGTGTTTTAAAACGTAAGATAAATGAACAAAATAATAATTTATAAAATTAATTTATAATAAATGTTAATTTTACTAAAAAAGTATGTTTCCACAGTTCACTTACCAATTATGTCATTTTTGTGTTAATTTATTTTACACCATATTTGTGTTACTTTATAATATTCATCTTGTGTTAAATTAACATATACCTATAAAAAATTAAGTAGATCGTTTGAAATTTGTGAAATGTGTTAACTTTAACATAAATTTTCCAACTGTGAAGATACAATTATTTTTGCAAGAACAATATAAGAGTACTTATTGGTAACGAGAAATGCCGCAGTGGGGTATTTCTTCGACGCGAAAATTCGCAGTGCGTTTCCTCAAGCGTATTCTCGCCAGAAAATATTCTTTTTCCGCAAGCGCCACGCGCTCGCGAAATTTGCGCATCACATCTACGCCGTAACGATCGCGAATGCATATTCGAAACATGACAACAACGACGTAACGTCACCAACGACACAGGTGGTGTTGCAGCCTGCCAATTTACTTTCCATCCATCTCCGCAATTGTTCGGCTATCGTAACAATCCACGGACGGTTCGGCGATGTTTCTCCTCCCCATATTTGTATTCCGTCTTTATACAACACGCGCGTAACGTAATTGTTCCGATAACGTAAATACGAACGGGAGATATCGTTGCTGGTCGCATCATGCCGATGCACATCGCGAACTCCCACAGCTGACCTAGATTATATTTGCGATGCCATTTTAATTGTGGAGTCCCGTGTTCTCAAGTGCAGGAAAGATAACGTGTCTCGCGGTATCGCGCGACAATCGACGACGTTTCGACACTCGAACGATCAAGCGTTTTAAGCTGTTTTTCTTTTTAAAAGACAGATAGGTAACGCAAGTGTCGTTCTAGCTTTGTTATTCATTAAAGAAAAATAGAACGATATTTGTACCAATTTGTACCAATTTGTATTTTTTAAAAGGAAAGCAGTTTTAATTGCGAAGAATCACCCGATTGTTCACATCCTCGACGAGGTCCGGGTTTCCGCGTGATCGAGTTTTCCCACCTTATCTTAGAAATACGCCTTTTTCTGGATTTCCTAATGACATTACGCCTTACGGGAAAATTTTTACTGGAGTATCTAAAAATTTAGATAAATTGTAGATATGAAAATAATTTTATTGAACTACCAAAAGATTATGTAGCTCAAACTGATTGCTCGAATGTCAAAATTTTTTGTGGCATTATGAGTTTCTTATATAATTAATTTGATGGTTCAACAAAACTATTTTCGAATCTGTACACTGTTAGATATTAAAGGAACAATGGTAATCCTTTAAGATGAATAACATTTTTGTTATTTTTAATTTCCATTTGTGTCCCAATATAACACACACAATTCATTTCTGTTAGTTCAAAGTAAACATCGTTCATATTAGATAACGTATGTACTTAGCAAATAATAAATTTAATTTGAATCAAATTTAATTCACCTTCTTGAGTTAAATCGTTTAAGTTCATTGTTTTAGTCAAATTAATAATATATTGAGTAGGAACAGTGGCGATATAGATACAATTAAAAATAACTCAAATTGGGTCAAATTTGACATTACTCTTTAAATCTGAATCAGTGAATAATCATTGATCAGTCCTAATTAATCCCACTCGTAATTACTGAATTCACAATAAAATTCAAT